ACCTTGAGCTGCTCCAACAGCCAAATGGAGGAGACCCGGAGCGCCTATCGCTCTTGCTGCAACACAAACTGCGCCGCACATCCAACTCCGTGTACATGCAAGGATTTAAACGGGAAGCCTTCCAGGTTTTATTGGATTTTCTCTTTTAAATGGAGCTGGTTTCTATGTTTCTATGTCACTGTGCAGGCCACTTAGGTGGCTAGGTACGACACGAGATTTAAGACGACTTAAATAGCGAACTAAAATATATATATATATAAAAAAAAGAGAATAAAAGTAATAATTTAGAGAAAAAGGAGCAAAATCCCATCTGAAAGGCGCTACTCAAAAGTTTCGGAAGCTGGGTCCGAATCACAAGATTAAGACAAAATGATTTAATAGCGAACTAAAGGGGAAAAAAACCACACAAGATAAAGTAATAAATCAAAGGAGAAAAAGGAGCAAAATCCCATCTGCGAGGTGCTGCTCAGTTTCGGAAGCGTGCTCCGGATAAACCATAACCGTGATGACGGGAGGTTGGCGTTTCCTCACCCAATCTGGGATTCGCACCGAAATGGTCGCGGCCGCGCGGGCCGAAACTGAAGAGCACGCTCCAGAGGCGAGTTAGCAACGGCAAGGTCCACGTTTTCCCCCCCTGCAGCCTCCCATACCTCCCGCCGACTGCTTCTCCATCTCCTCCCGGACCACGGGCGACGTCAAGTGGATGGTGAGCGTCAGCGGCGGCTCTCGCGTGTTCTTGATGACGATGGCGTCGTCGCCGACCGACTGGATGATTTCGTATTTGTCTTCTGTAATAGCCTGCAATGTGATTTCACAGCCCTTAGCAATCGCTTGATTGATTTAGGAGCAATTAGCAGCGTTATTTTCCAATTAAAACCCAAGGTTTCTAGGCAAAACCGCAGCTACAAAGCAAAGTCGACTTAACAACGTTACTCCAGAAGAAAACTACATGAAAATTACTTTCCCAAAGTGGAAAAAAACACCAAGAAACCGTTAAAAACTCCTCTATTTGACTTGATTTTACAAGCACCGGGGGTTTTCACTCACAGCGAGTTGGACTCCCAGATTGTCGGCCACTTTCTCCAGCAGATCCGTGGTGGGTTTGTCTTTGCAGAGCAGAACCAGCTCGAGATCCAGGTCCCCCTTGAGCAAGAGGCCTTTGGCTACGAGCCCCACGCGCATGACGCCGCGCAGGGTCCTGGTCAGCTGCTCCGTGGCCTTCTGATCGCTGTGGACACACGGGAATGGGTTAAAATGGGGAGATTTCGTGGCATTTTGGGGCTCGGCGCAAGTTAAGGATGGATCTGCAATGGTTACATGCAACACTCGTCCCTCATTGAGGGATTTACAATGTTTGTGTGGGGAAAAATGGCTTCAACACCAAGTTCATTCATTCCTCAACTCCACAGCCAGCAAAAGTGGCTTTTCCACCTCATTTTTACTGATTTCAAGTTAAAAATAAGCCATTCTTTCTGACAGCGCCCGCAGAGGCTTTGCTGGGTTCAAAACTGGCTGGACTGGAGCACAGAGAGTGGTGGTGAATGAACTAAACCCAGTTGGGGACCAGGCACAAGTGGTGTTCCCCAGGGCTCAGTCCTGTTTCACACCTCGATCACTGATCTGGATGAGGGATCGAGTGCTCCCTCAGTTTGCAGATGACACCGAGTTGGGGGGCAGTGCTGATCTGTTCTGGGTACACAGGCTCTGCAGAGGGACCTGGCTGGGCTGAATCCATGGGGTGAGGGCAATGGGATGGGGTTCACCAAGGCCAAGTGCTGGGTCCTGCAATGACCCCATGCAGGGCTTTAGGGTTGGGGACGAGTGGCTGGGGAGGGGCTGGGGGGGTTGAGGACCGCAGATGAAAACGAGA